CCCCCCCCCCCCCTCGATCTTACCTATCAGCGTCTTCCTCCGCCTCTTCCAGAGCCGCCTTGAGTGCCCGGACTCTCCCCCTCACAGTAGCCCGAACTCGACCCAGCTCTTCCTCCAGAGCATCAGCCCTCTCCGCCTCCACTATTTGATATAAGAATGCATGACAGCGATATACAAATACATGCATATGTAGGGGGAAGACAAATCATCGGCTCAGCGTCCCTCTGCCTCCACTGTTTGATACTACAATTAGGTAGCGAGTTACAGATGGGGTCGTTGACGTCAGACCTGAATCGACAGTCTCTCTCTCGCGCAGAGCCAGAAATTCTACGGAACCCCGTCGACGAGATGTTTCCAGAACTACCCTTTTAGGTGTTGGCACAAGCTTGGTCGTGGAACAATTGAGTTCGGAAAATCAGTGTAGAGGGGGGTGCCATGTCTTCGCCTCATACGGAATACCACGGTACGGTATACGGTACGGGACAGACAATATCTCCGCCTCTGACGACGCAGTTCTCGCGCCCTCCCTCTCCCGGTAACGTTTAGGATTACGAGTGGTACATAAAACCCTACTCCTACATCGTTGTTGTATATCAGTAGGATTTAGTGTGACAGTAAAACCTGCATGTATCGCTATTTTACATAATACCATGGTGAGGTTTGGTGCGGTACGGTAAACCTGTACCATGTATAGAGTAGGAATTAGTGCGGCATAGAAAGTCCTTCATGTATCGTTGTTGAATAGGATTTAATGTGTGATATTGTAAGACCTACACAGTGGGGGTCCCTGTGTAGTACCGGTATGTGCCCAGAAAATTCAGCGGCACTATACCGGGCCGGCACTATTCAAAGTAATGACAACGGCTTGGAAATTCAGTGTGTGCGAGCCGACAACACCGGCACCATACCAGGGCATTGGCAATATTCAACCGGCACTAAACAGGGACCCCCACTGTAGTGTGATCCTGGAAAAACCTATAAATCACCCTGGATCTCACCCTTGGCCCGATCTTCCCCCGACTCTGCGGCGCGCTCCGCCGACCGTAACCTCTCCCGCACCCTCGTGTTCTCCGCCCGCAGCCCCTCCACGACCCTGTGCACGCCGGCCTCCCTGAACGCTCTCTCCTCATCGTTCTTGACGTCCGCCTTCGCGGCTGCAGCAGCGGCCGAGACCCCCGTCGTAGAGGAAGGCGTTGTCGTCTGTTTCGACGCCGGTGCTGATGATGAATCCCTGCCGATCTCGCTGCTGCTGCTGCTGCTGCTGCTGCTGCTGCTGTCTTCTTCGGCTTTGTCGGCGTCGTCTACCTCAACAGCATCATCATCCGGAATGACAACGCCGCCGCCGCTGCCGATCCCGCCATTCACGACAGCATCGACAACAACAGCGTCCGCCGCTACGCCAGGCCGAGGGGCAACCACGCCACCCTCCCACGCGCTAGCAAGCAACCACGGCAAGAAAAAACCACGACGTCCACCGCCGCCGCCGACGCCGACGCCGCCACCGCCCCCATCCCCCCCGGGGACGCCCCAGCCGAATCCCCGGGTGTCAACGCCGTCGAAGGGAGGGGACACGGGAGCCGCGACTCCCCCCCCCGTAGACAGCGCCTCCAGCTCGCTCCGCAGGGCGGCGTTATCGCGCCGCAGCGACTCAACAACGCCGACATCGCTACCGTCTTTCTCCTCGTCCCGTTGCTGTTGGGAAAAGTCCGTCGTCGTAACGGAATATAGCGGAGCGATAGGTTTCCCCGCGTTTTTTGCAACGTTGGCCTCAACCGCCTCGAGGGCAGAAGTGGCCTTTTCCACAAGAGCAGCGTTCGCGCGACGGAGGTCCGTCTCCCTCGCCCGGGTTTTCACGACCTGACGCGTGATTGGACGCGCGCCGTAGGGGGGGGGAAGGGGGGGGAGTACTAAGGCCTTTGCGTGCCCGAGCGATTGTTAGTCTCTCGCCCGGCTTTTCACAACCTGAGGCGTGATTGGACGCGGGCGGGCGGGGAAGGGAGGGGAGGGTGCTGATGCTTGGCGTGTCCCGGCTATTGTTAGTCTCTCGCCCGGGTTTTCGCAAACTGAGGCGTGATTGTGCGCGCGATCGCGGGGGGGTACATGTGCTCATGTCTTGCATGCCTTCTCGGCCAGATGATCGACCGCCCGTCCTCGATAGCAAGGAGGACGGAAAATCGTTCCGACGGGACCGATCAGATCGGCGCGTGTGTGCTCATGTAAACGCATGCGGTAAATAGCCGGTAGACCATTGACCTTGCACCCCTGCAATGCATGCCGGGACGGAGCGATACGGCGGGTTTTCACATCCTGAGGCGTGCTTGGGCACGAGCGTGATACTGATGAAACGCATGGAGGGTGTCCTCATGCGGACGCATGCCGCAGTCATTAGAACATCGACCTCGCATGATGCCGGGACGGAGAGATGAGATTTTTTCGCCGACCAAGGCTGCCGTAAATGTAGGAGAGATGGCACCCCGGTGTCAGCGTTTCTTGATCGAGTACTTCTCTGCAACCAGGGGGTTACCACTGCCGAAAAGGATAGCGCTGTAAACATCTCGTCGAGGGTTTTCCTGAGAGGCATCGGTTGGTGATCGCACCCTCCTAGTGCTGGTGACTACGATATAAAAAAAACGTCCAAGACGGGGGTGCCATCTCTCCAACTTTAGCGGCACGCACATCTCACAAGGGGGGTGGGGGGTGTACTCATAGTCGTGCTTGCCGTGGTCGTCAGACCATTGACCTCGCCGTGCCCACATAGCCGGGACGGAGCACGCCGGGTTCTCACCGGACCATGGTTTCACGTCACCAAGCGCGAAGCGCCGGGGAGGTAGTCGGGGAGTCGCACGGAGGGTATGCTGCATCCTGCTAAAGGGCCTTCGGCATCTTGGATGGCTTCGCTTATTCTCTGGTGCTTTCACACCTCGTGAGGGACATGTAAACTTGTCAGGATGGACGGCGGAGTTACCGTACGAGGCGGAGAGATGGCACCCCCCATTCAGAACGGTTTTCAAAGCTCGATTCCTCCACAACCAAAGGCGGTGGTTTGGAAACACCTATCTCGTCGACGGCTTTCCATAGACGTATGGGACTCTTTTCAGCACCCCATTGTTTATGGGGCAATCGAGCTTGGAAAGTCGGTCTGCATGCCACCTCTACGCCCTTTACCGTAGAAAGGGGGGGGGGCAACCGTTCCAAGAGTCGCGAGGGCTCTCCCACACCCCTCCCCGCAGCCGACCGCTCTCGCGAAAAATTCCACTTTGTTGAGTAAATAGAACGGGGAGGGGGGGGGGGGGGGGGGGGGG